TGGCGACGCGTGGTTCCTGGGCAGTTCCCCCGCAAGCTCAGGCTGGCCCCAGACCTCACAGAATCACCGAACAGTGGAGTGGGAAGGGGCCGTGGAGGCCATCGGGTCCAAGCCCTGCTGTGGCAGGGCGCCGCGTCACACCACCCCACTCAGAGGGCTGCCCAGCTTCTTTCTGAATGCCTCTGCTGTGGGAGAGCCCCACCTCTCCGGGCAGCCAGTTCCACCTGCTCAGCTTCGACATGATGGCTGCCTGCTCTGCCTTCAGATCATGTTCTGGGCCCATTGTTATCATGATATACCAGTAAGAATTGCAGCAAAACGTTTCCAAAGACAGCGGCTCAAAATGCACGGCAGAGAAAAGCACAGCTTGTAAATAGTTACCTGTTGAGGGTGTGAGCAAACAGGACAGAATGTGCCTTGTTTCTAACGGGGTCACAGAAGGTAGGTCTCCCGTGAGAGAGGGTCCCATAGAAGTGCAATTTCTACACCCGCACAGAAAAGGCCTCCAAGAGGGGAGCCAACTTCCAAGGAAGGTTTCAGCTAACGGGAAAGGGGCAGCTGTCTGGCCCCAAGTGTTTAAGGCCACACAGTGAATGTGGGAACTCCGACAGTGCCTGTTAAAGGGTCCCCAGTGTGGTACCTGCAGGAATGCACAAACCTTAAACCATTACCTTCTTCCCATTTTAATATACATGCCTGGATCTGAATCCGTCCATAGCAATTACTACATAGGAAGTGCATTTGTCCTTCCAGCAGCCAAGCAAAAGCAGCCCAAATAGCAAGCAGCCATTTGAATGTCATGTCTTCCTCCTCCTCTTCCTCCCCCTCCTCCCACTTCTGTGCTGCCCATAGCCAAAGCTCTCTGACAATATTTAAGTCACTCATCCAGATTTCAACTAGACCTGACTGTGCTTAGCTCCCAAGGTTAGGCAGGATCGGTCGCCTCAGGGTATATGGAAGCTCTGCATGCGCTGATGCCACATCCTTAAATACTGAAAGTGTTTCCTGTGGCTAAATACCTGCTTTGCATGGAAAAGGCCTTGGGTTCAAGAGCCCTGTCTGATACCGCATCCCACGGAGGGCCTTTGCCAGGCAGGAGGAGTGAGATGGCCAGATGTGGTGGACAGCAGGGGCCCCCCCACCCAAGCTCCAGGGTGCTTCCAGACATACGGCCTTGAAACGCTACCAAGCTGAGCCATGATTGGCTTTTGTTACGAAATCAGGTTGCGGTGGGAAATCGGGGGAGGATTATAAATAGGTTGTGGTGCCTGGGCCTCTGGGCCTCTGTGGGATGACCACCTGCTAAAACCGCCCCAGAAATGCGATGGGGCTATCCTGCAGAACATCCGCTAGTGAGGTGGGGTGGCCTGGAGAGCGGCTAGTGCAGCCTTCCCCCACCTAGTGCTCTCCAGATGCGTGTGAAACAACTCCCACCATCTCCACCCAGCAAAGGATCATTCCAGCGGAGGGCTCCACGTTGGGGGAGGATTAGGGCTGCGGATTCCCACTGGGCACAGAACTCACTGGGTGATTTGCCTGGGTTCAGATGACACAGAAACCCACAACTAACTGTCAGTGAACCATGGACTTGTGTTGAAATATGAGTGATGCTGCGACTGACATGCAAGAAAATAACCAGCCATGATTTGCTAACCATCAACGGCCCCATGAAAAGAAGCCATGGCTTCTTGTTAGGCTGTGAATGGTGGATTGTTTGTGATTAACAGGGCTGTGAATAGTGGATTGTTTGTGGTTAACAAACCATGGCTTGTTTACCACAGCTGAGTCCGGGCAACATGATACCCATGGTTCAACAATAACCTCTCCTCAAGCCTTTGGCTGCCCAAACCATGATGTCCAAATGCCTCTTTTGAGCCCAGCACTGGGCCAGTTCCAACACCCAGACAAGCCAATGCAGGTTATGAGTCTCCAGGGTGCAGTGGCTTGAACTGGCCATCATTCTGAGGGTGCCTTCCAGTTGCATGGTCTCACTGCGTCGTGCAAACCCGGGTGCAGGGCTGGCATTTCGCACAATCCGAAGGAAGCGGAGATGGAGGCGCCGCGAAGCTCCTTGCTTGCATCCATGGCCGCAGCCCGGGATACCGCCCGACCTCACGCAGGGGAGGAGCGAGGCCCAGCGCCGTCCTGCAGCAGCAGGGGCTTGGCCCCGATGGCCTTCCCGCCCCTTGCAGCTCTGCGCTCCTGGGATTCTGGAGGCAGCCGCCGTCAAGGCGCAGCGTTGCCCCCGCGCGGCGAGCCCCGGGGGCGACCCGCTGGCGCCCGCGCGCTCCACAGCACCTGCGCCTCGCCGGCCGGGCGCTCCCGCGGCCGCTTCGCTCGGGGGAAACTACAGCCCCCAGCAGCCCGTGGAGCGGCGCGTGCTCGCGGGGGGCCGGCGCATCGGACCGTGCCGGGAGCGCCCACCTCTCCGCCGCGCGCGGCCGAGGCCGGATTGGAGGCCGGCGCCGGCGGGGGGTGGTTGGGCGGCTCCCCGAGCCGAGGGCCGGCGTGCGAGCGCGTGCACGCGTGCCAGGCTAGGCAGCGGCGCGCAGGGCGAGGGACCGGCGGAAAGGTGAGCGGGCGAGGCCGGCGACGGACGCGGCTCCCGCGCGGCGCGCAGGGGCGCAGGCGTGGCGGTCGGGCGCCGGCGAGGGCCCGGCTGGGCTGTCCGGCGGCCCCGTGCCCCGCACTCGCGCCTCGGCAAGCGGGGGCAGCGCGGAGCGCGACGCGGGCAGCGCTGCCCACGGAGCGCGCGGGGCTGGCGGGGTCGGCCCCTGCGCTTTCCCGGGCTCGGCTCGGGGCGCGCTCAGCAGTGCGCGGGAGCTTTCGCGGCGCGGGAGAGGACGCCTCGATCACCCGGGGGTGCGCGCGCGCGCGCGCAGGAAAGATGCTCTTCGTTGGCCCCGGGCGGGGCGGAGGCTGGTTTAAAAAAAAGTTGGTAGCGCCGGCAAGATGCTGGGTCAGGGTCGTTTGGAAGTTTCCTCTTCCAGCCGTGACCCTGCAGTTGCGCGGGGAAAGGCACTCTGCACCTGCCCAGGAAGCCTTCCGGTCGTCCTTGCGCCCTGGCTTTGGCTGTCTGGGTTGAGCCTTGAAGGAGGCTGAAGGAGGCTGCTGTGTGAGGCTGGAAGAGATGCCAGCAGGTTGAGAGGCTTCCTTGCCTCAAAGGACGGGGTCATTGCAGCGATCGGGCCAGCGTGCCACGACTTGGCGGACCCCACTTCTTAGCCCAGGTATGCTTAGATGGGCTGTGGAGAAGGGAGGCAGATCTGCGCTGACTCCGAGGTGCTGGTCCCAGTTCAAAGCACTGGAAGGGAGCAGGCTCACCCCCAGTGTGGTCGCTCTCTGTTTGATGGTCATGGAGGGGGTTCCCGAGTGTGAGTAGTTTGTTGGTATTTGGTAGTAAAGGAAATACACTCTGTACATGCCTGGAGGCACTTGCTTTACTGCTGTTGAGACTTGTCTTTTAAGGGCAAGATGTAAGTTTATCCTTAGGTTTTGAGCTCCTATATATGGATCTATTTGCATGTTTGTGAAGGGTCCATTTCTGCTCTTTTCTCATCACAAGGAGGGGATGGAAGACAGGGGACATGAGAAGCTGATCTGCTGGGTGGTTGGGGGTGTCTTCTCATCGCACGGTTCCTAATTTAAAGTAGATGTAGCTCTGTTTGCATTCAAAGAGAAAGTAGCATGGCATTTTGTGGAATGAAATATTGCAATTATTGTGTTTCTATACCGCCTAACAGCTAAAGCTTTCTGGCCTCAAAAGAAATTTCTGCCACTGTACCTCAGTTCTCTTACCTCCAAAATGGGTGCATGGACAAAACTGCATTTCAACTAATTTTTTTGGAGTAACGAAGAAGGACTGCTCCCCCACCCCTCGTTTGTCAGCTGCTCCTTGTATAATAAATGATTGATACGTTGACTGTTGAAGACCCTGTTCTGCCATTTATTCTTGCCTAAAGTGACAAGGGCACCCTCTTGCAATTAATTTGCAGGAAAAGCAGGTTTCGCGCTGGATGGAAGGGCAAAAAGGAAAGTGGGAACTGAGCCTGGTGGCACAGATTGGCAAGGAGAGTGGAAGAGAATGAGGGGTGCAGGAGGGGAAGCTGGCAAGGCTGAGGGCTGTGGAAGGCGAAGGGGCTTGGAAATTTATTTGACAGAAATATGTCAGGATTGCAGGGCAGGAAAAGAGGAGTGACCTGAACATTCCAGGTTTTGGGGTGTTTATTCACACACTCACATCTGGGGCGTGTGTTTCTCCTGCTGGCTGCGCTGAACATTCTTTGTTCCTAGAACTGGCTGGCTTCCCCTGGAGGTTTATGCTACAAAACCCACATGGTGGGAAGGGAGCGGGAGTCTGCTGAGGTCCTAACGCCCCCTCCGCAGAAGGGTCACCTTGCATTTATCCTGGACTCTCACAGGCGGAAGGCCAGCGAAAACATGGCATTCCTCGGACATTCCTGCTTTCCGTTTCCGCTGAAGTGTTTTACATCTCAATTGTTAGGTCTCCCCTTAGAAGCCTGGATTCTTGACCTCTCTTTTCCGAATCCTCCCTGATTCCACTCAGGCATTTTAAGAACTGTGTGGGCAAAGCAAGGGAGGCCTGGTGCGAGGGCTGCCCCTTGGGCATGGTTCGTGGTAGTTTGCCGGCATCCCACGTGCTTCCGGCACAAAAGCTGGACAGAAGAATGCACAGAGGGGGCGACAGTGCCAGGCACTCCCCTGGGATCATGGCCGCTCTGCGGACTGCCGCCCCCTGTGCGGCAGCGCAGCAGAAATGCCCCCAGAAAGGGAGCGATGAAAGAAGGGGAGCCACTTGCATGAAGTCTTCCTGCCCCAGACACAGCCCCCCGGTGCAAACACGCCCTGGCATCCCCCACCGCAGGGGAACTGTGGTCCTGGCCCCGGCCCCATGCCCCCGAGAGGGCCCTTCTGTTCTGACGCCCTGTCCCCGCTTTCCCTTGCAGGGTCCAGCGTGGCTCTGTGGAGCGTCGGCAGCCATGGAGATGCAGTCGTACTACACCAAGCTCCTGGGCGAGCTCAATGAGCAGCGCAAGAGGGACTTCTTCTGCGACTGCAGCATCATCGTCGAGGGGAGAATTTTCAAAGCCCACAAGAACATTCTTTTTGCCAACAGTGGCTATTTCCGTGCGCTGCTGATCCACTACATCCAAGACAGTGGTCGGCACAGCACCGCGTCCTTGGACATTGTTACGTCGGAGGCCTTCTCCATTATCCTGGACTTCCTTTATTCAGGTAAGCTGGATCTTTGTGGGGAAAACGTAATTGAGGTCATGTCTGCAGCTAGCTATCTGCAGATGACCGATGTCGTCAACTTCTGCAAGTCATACATTCGGTCATCGCTGGATATCTGCAGGAAAATAGAGCGAGAAGCGGCCTTTTATCAGGCCGACAGTGGGAGCTCCGGTTCAACTAGAGAGGGCACATCCTATGGTGTGAAGAGTCAGTGCTCAGCATCAGTCTCGTCTCTGCAGGAGAAGGAAAGGGCTCCCGATTGTCAGCGGGATCCGCCCTGTGGAGCGTGTGGCAGCTGCCGCCCCAGTGAGCTTGTGGTGAGGGACCCTGTCAGCAGCGAATGCCCGGAGGACTCGCACTCTTCTCTGCCCAAAGGGATAGAACCCAAAGTAGAGTTTGATGCGGACGAAGTGGAAGGGGAAGTCGGGGAGCGGCTCCAGCAGTACCCTGCCGCACTGACGATCGATCAGATAGAGGAGGGGCTTCACCACGGCCAGGCGATGGATCTGGCCTGCAACAACTACCACATGAAGCAGTTCCTGGAAGCCTTGCTGCGCAACAGTGCGGCCCAGAGGAAGGAGGACATGGTGCACCACTTTGTCCGCGGCTTTGAGGGCAGGCCCGAGGACGCAGGCGTGCCCATGAGCTCCATGATGGACATTCACAGCGACTGGTATGGGGAGGATACAGGTGAGATGAGCACTCTTGAAATGGGGTACGGTTCTGCCTCACACCAGTTACTTTTCTGAATGCGAAGCACACCCCGTTGTTGTTTAGTGTGCGAGAGTATCTTTCTGCAGCCGGGGATCCAGGCTGCAAAAGAAAAAGACCTTGCTTCAGGGAAAGGGCCTGAACAGGTTTTCTCCCCTGCACCTCAGATAACTGTTACAAAGCAGTAAGAAGGGGCTCTCCATAAAATAAAACAGTCTCAAGACATTTTAGATCCTGATTAGTCTTAGATTTCAAGAGACATTCCAATTTTTCAGTGATAGCTTTGAAAGATGGCGGATACCTTTTGCTTTAGACTTGCTAATACAGACCAAGTTGACAGTTGTGTGAAAGCATTTTTTGTCATCATGGCTGCAGAAACCTTGGGTTTACCGAGAAAGAATTGCCAAAGGATAATTTATTTTCAGCTTTTTTGAAATCCTTGGGAATTCTGCTCAGCTGGAGCTTCCAGGCTTCATTCAGTTGTTATGTAGTTGCCCTGCTAGGAATTAAAACATGCCCTGAAATATTTGCTCCCAACATGAAAGGCTGACTTCTGTCACTGCACATGACCTCTCTTGTCCCACAGGCCAAATTGGTTTGTGCTATAATACTTCTTTTTTTTTAAAGAAATTTTATTAAAATTTTAAACTAACACTAAAAACATCAATCATCACATACATCAGACTTACTGGGTCAGCCCCATGCTACATATTTTTAACATTCTATAATCATATTCAAATCAGTTTATAATAACTTAAAAACATTTCTAAATCTACGCCAAGTCCCATTTCTCCAGCCAATCATAGAAAAAATCCCAAGTTTGATAGAAGTCAGTGTCTTCTTTCTCCTTCAGTGATAAAGTCAATCTATCCATTTCCGCACAGTCCAGAATCTTTCTTAGAATCAGTTCACCGGTGGGCAGTTCCTCACTTTTCCAGTACTGAGCAAATGCAATCCTCGCTGCTGTGATTAAATGTAACATCAAATACATTTCCTGTCTGTTAATATCTTCCGGTATGATGCCTAACAAGAAAACTTCAGGTTTAAAAGCAAAGGGTTTTTGTAGTATTTCCTCCAGCCATTTAGATATTTTAATCCAATACTTTTTCACATTATCACAGGTCCACCACATATGATAAAAAGTACCCACATTATGTTTACATTTCCAACGTCTATTTGACATATTTGGAGACATCTTAGCTAATCGACTTGGTGACAAATACCATCTATAGAATATTTTATACAGGTTTTCTTTATACGAAGTTGCTAATGTTGCCTTAATATTTCTTTCCCATAGCTTTTGCCACTTTTCTAATTCAACATTATATCCAAAGTTTTGTGCCCACGTTATCGTAGTTTCCTTAGTGCTATAATACTTCTTAAGCATTCCGATTGGTTCTAATAGAATCACTGCCCTACATTTGGACTTTCTGGAATGCCCATTTGGAAGGGAGCGACAGAAGTACCCTGCATCTGATATAAGGACCAGAAGGTTAAAAGCTTGTGTAGGCGTAGAGAGAGAGGCATTCTTCTTTCTCTGCCATCATGCCAGAACCCAAATGGCTCTAGTGTTATGGCAGAACCCATAAAGAACCCATGAAGCTGATGGGCAGAGACTCAGGACAGAGCCAAGGGAGGGCTTCTTCACACAGCGTACTTAAAGTAGCGAGTTCCCTGCCACCGATCTGGATGGTGTGAAAGGGGACTGGGCAGAGTCATGCCGAAGAGACTCTCTGTGGCTGCTCGCCTTGCTGGCCACGTGCTCCCCCCATCGCCAGAGGCAGCTCCTGTACGCGCCAGTCGCTGAGGAGCTGGGCAGGAGGAGGTCTGGCACCATCCTGCCAGAGGGGTCCTGCGGGCAGCTGGTTTGCCTGTGGGTGAATGGGCCCCGGGTAGCCATTAAGGTTTGCACCAGGCTTCATGGTGCTACTGGACTGGGCTTTGGTCTGTACCAGCTGCAACAAACTGAGCATGTCCCAGAGCAAAAGCAGGTCGCGGGCACTGCAGGGATGTGTGGAGTGCTTTCCTGTGTCCAAAGCATCCCCGTGTGTTCTCACTGTTATCTTCACCACAATCTTGAAAACGAGCCGCTGCTACCTCTCTTGCAACCTGTGTTTTGGGCTGATGCTGAGAGAAAGCAGCTGTCTAGAGAGCAGCCTGCCCAGAGAGCTCACGGGAGAGGCAGATTTCAAACCGGGCCTCCTGACACACCAGTTTCAGAGACTGGTCACAGACCAGCATCCCTCTTGTGTGTTGCCCTGGCTTGCACTCATGCACCTACAGATAAGAGCCCTGCTTTTTCCCACGTTGGTCGCTGTCACGTATTGTCAAGTTGTCTCCGACTTAAGGCAACCGTTGGAGTGAGTGTCCTTCAGAACGTCCTGCCCTTGACAGGCTCGCTCAGCTATGGCAGACTCAGGGCAGCGGCTTCCTCCAGGGAGTCGATACACCTGCTGCTCAGCCTTCTTCTCCTTCTGCCTACGACTTTCCCTGGCATGCTTGCCTCCTCCAGGGAGCCTTGCCTTCTCAGGATGTGCTCGAACTATGACGGCTTCAGTTTTGCCATGTTGCTTCCATTAATTAATTTATATTTATTTATTTAGTTATATTGCGATTTATATCCTGCCTTTTTCCTACAAAGGGCTCAAGGCAGCTTACATCATCTCTCCTCCTCCATCTTATCCCCACAACAACAACCCTGTGAGGCAGGTTAGGCTGAGAGTCTGTGACTGGCCCAAAGCCACCCAGTTGGCTCCATGGCCGAGCGGGGACTCGAACCCGGATCGCCTGAGTCCCAGTCCCACGCTCTTAACCACTACACCACCCTGGCTCTCACACTTGAGTCTGATAGGTAAGGCCCTCTGTGATCCTAGTACTGTGCCTTTGAAAATCTGGGCTTAAATTACAGTACCATTTGTGCATGCAGAACCTACCAGTAAGGCGGCCTGACGGTAGCCTTTTGGTAGAAATCATCAGCACTCGTGGCAGGCCTGAAATTGCACTCGTTTGGGCAAATAAATGGAACCGCAGCAAGCAGACACGGCCATTTCTGTAAGACGGAAGCCATGTAATGCTACCGATGTCATGTCACTGTGGGCTGGTAGACAGACAAATTAACGGGCTGTGGATGGAGGCAGCAAAACTTTCCCCGCCTGCAAAAAGCCAGAAGGTCAAGAACAGCTCTGGGTTCTGGCCCTGCCCATTCCATGTGGTCCAGATTCTCTCCTTGTAGGAGGCTCTGTCCTTGGGCGCAGCTCTCACGCTCCCTCCGACTGCAGCTTGAGCTGCTGGGGAGCACAGCGGGTGGGAGCACCCGGGCTTTGCTGGCGGCAGGCCCCCGCCTGCCCTGGCCCTGGCAGGGGTGAGGATGGATTTAGCCCGAAACCCCAGAGGGCCACGGCTGCTCCTCAGACTTCCCAGGCCTCCTCAGAGATTGGGCTGAGACAGCACACCCTCCAGCTGAGCACTAAAGAATGGATCTTTGTAGAAATGTGTTGGTGTGTTGTCTGGACCTGGGTGTGTGAACAAACCGTGATGAACAACACCCGGTTCACAACCCAACAACAGACCTTCGGTTCGCCTCATGGTTCGTTTGAGGGTAGGAAGCCACGGACGGTTAGTGCAGCTCGCTTCAGATAGCATGCTTCAGCAGAGGCTGACGGCTCAGTGCCAGCTCGGTGCTGCTGCGGTGCGTGAGCCAGGCCTGGGTCAGGCTTAGCCCCTTTCCTCAGAGGTGGCCTCCATGCGCTTTCTGGGCAATATCTTTGGTGCTCAGTCTCTGTGCAGGATTCAGTGGTCTCTCCTCAAGCGGAGTGATTCGGTCGCAAGGACCATGCGTGCTCCCGGCCTTCGGGCTGCAGTGGCGCATTTGCCGAGCGGCTTCCCCAGCCGCCATCCGGCCACGGCGGCAAATGCAACAGCGAGTGACGTGTCGAGTGGCTCCAGCTTGCTTTGTGATTAGCGGACCCACCATTTCCTCTTCTGTCAATACCCAAACGACATAAAATTAGGTGCGGGTGTCACTCATTGCTGCTGTTATTTCAACATCCGGAGCCCCTTCCAAGGGCCGGCCGTGCACTCTGCCACGGTTCTGTCTCCAAAGGTGATGTGCTGGTGGTGCCGATCAAGCTGCACAAGTGCCCGTTCTGCCCGTACACGGCCAAGCAGAAAGGCATCCTGAAGAGGCACATCCGCTCCCACACGGGTGAGCGGCCCTACCCCTGCGAGACCTGCGGCAAGCGCTTCACGCGGCAGGAGCACCTTCGGAGCCACGCCCTGAGCGTAAGTCGGGGAGTGCCGTGCCGAGAGGCAGCGTGAGGCGGAGGACCTCCTTTGAGGGGGCCGGGGGGGGGGCGGCCGAAGCGGTCGCTGGCTTCCGGCAGTGGCCTGTGGTGGATAAGAACCGATCCCAGGGGACTCGGGTGGGGAACTGCTGGTCGACTGGGTACGGCTCCCCTCCCTCCGCCGGCACGAGGGGTCCGGGGTGCCCCACCGGGGGGCAGCGGCTCCGCAGGAGTGGCTGAGCGGCGCTCGCTCACCCTGCTCTGTTGGCGTTCCAGGTCCATCGGTCCAACAAGCCGATCATCTGCAAAGGCTGCCGGAGGACGTTCACAAGCAGCCTGTCACAGGGGCTGCGGCGTTTCGGCCTGTGTGACAGCTGCACGTGCGTCACGACGACGCACGAGGATTCAATGCCCATCAACCTCAGCCTGATAGAGCCCTCGTCAGAGGGTCAGGAAAAGGGCGATCCGGACAACGACTGGCCCATCTACGTGGAATCCGGCGACGAAAACGATCCGCCCGAGGATGACGACCCAGACCCGGATCCTGATGACAAGCCGGGACTCCACCGAGGCGACGCGCTTATGTAGCGGCACAGTCAGCATCTGACGGCAGGACTCGGCATATTTATCCAGAGCTTTTTAAAAATGAGGTTCAGTTCCATTTTCCTAGAACAGAGGGAAACTGTCGGACTATCAAAATCCAGAAATGTCTTTTTAATTTGTGTGGGCATGTGCCATGTCTGAGAGGAATGTTACGTCCCAGGTGAGCAGAAGGCGTGCCTGGCGATCTCGTGCGGTCCTTTGGCTGTGAGCCAAGAGGTGAGTGAGCCCCGGAAGAACCTAGAATCTGCTACGCTCGTGCAGCATAGTGACTCTGCCCTTTCTGCAGCCTGTCCCTGGGGCACTGGGCTTTGAGGTCTCTTCTGGGAGGCATCAGGGTCTGGACTTTTCTAGAGCTGCAGCAGTCTCCTTTCTCTGAGGTTTTCTTCATCCTCCATTCTAAACTTGGAAATGGGGAATGGTTCTTGATCAACACTGAGAGGATGGAAGCTCCACTACTGAAAACTGCTATCAGCAAATCATGGTCAACATCAAATCAAACAGCCATGAAGAAATGGCTCCAATTTATTGCGATTGTTCAGGGTACCTTCTTTTTTAAAATTACAAATTGACACTTCTGTTTGCCCTCGAGAATCTGGGTAATAGATCCAGGCAAGATGCAGAGAGGCTGTTGCTTTAGCTGGCGGCAGAACAGTGTTCTAGTAGTTGGCTGCTACAAAAAAGGCAATTTCCAAGTGGGGCATAATTAGGAAAGAAATCAAGAGATGGAACTGCCAACGCCGTGCGTCCTTGTACCACCAGCAGTGCTGCCTCGCCTGGAATATTGTGCAGAGGCTGGACACTGTGCCTGAAAGGGGGATATGGGAGGGCTGGAGAGAGTGCACCAAGGGGAGCCTGAAATGGGGAGAGGCTGCCACAGCTGAGATGGCCGAGCTCAGAGAAAAGGCCAGGAGGTGGGGACATGATCGAGTTGTGCTGAATTCTGCCTGCGGTGGAGAGCATGGAGAGGAAGCCACTGTTACGCCCTGCCGCATGGGAAGCCAGAGAGGTCGTGCCACAGCACTGATGGGTGGGAGCTTCAGGACAGATCTAAGGAAGGGCTTCATCAACCCGAGAAGCTCAGCGATGGGATTCACATCCATAAGATGCAGGGATGGCTGTAGAAAGGGATCGGACCTGTTCACAGGGGGCAACACTAGTTGGCCCGTGGATGAGCAGAATGCGCTGAGAGCTCAAGAAAAGCGAGCCCCGAACTGTGTCACAGTGCTTGAACCGGGAGGTCCCTTTCCGGATGCCTCGCGGGGCGGGCAGGGCGGGGCGGGCAGAGCGTGGGCTGCTTGATCTGCAGGAGGCCTCAGTTCCTTCACCATCTCCAGCTAAAGGGATTGGGATGCAGGTGGCAGAGAAGGCCTGCTGGCAGCCAGGGCAAGCAGGAATGGGCCCTGTGGGGCACTGGTTTGCCTCCCCCCGCAGCTTTTTGCTGTCCTGAGGATTACAGCCATGCCCTTTTGCTGCTAATCTGGCTGGAGGACGTTCTGGCACACGGCCTGCTATTCTCATTTATTTAGACAGTCATTGAGGGTGTGGCTCTCAAGTGTAAGCCAGTGAGAGATGCCCTGTGCAAGGCTGCTCATCCACTGTATCCACGTAGAGTTGAGAACAGCGTGCCAGATGAACCTCTAGGTGGCACTGTCGTGCTATGGTGGAACAGCATAAATACACAAGTGAAAAAAGCAGCGCTTTCTCTTGTACAATAAAAGGCTGCATTTCCCCTGCTCTTAGTCCCACCCCAACACACACGCATACTCTGAAAATGCTCGTTTGACATGGAAACTAAACTAGAAGGTCACCACCTTGTCTAGACAACATGTAAAGAACTGTGAGAATGGAGTGACATGTACATGATAATAGCCTCTTGTGGAAAAGTCTTAAAGAACAAATGCAAACAAAAGCCCGTCCTGCACGCCTTGCAAGGAGCTCCAAAAATGCACCTCCTGATAGTTCTAAGCCATGGGAGAGCAAGGTATGAATGAAAACAACAGGAATTAATCCCTCACAAACCATCTAGAGCAGCCCTAATGAATGAAATACCTTGTATGTTGAGAATACAGTCAGTCAGGAGTAGGCACCCTCCAGATGCTTTCAACTACAACTCCCATCATCTTCAAGCATTGGCCATGTTGGTTGGGGCTTATGGAGACTGCATTCCAGACCAACTGGAGTAGTTCTGCATTTCTGCTGTCCTTTGAATTTGCCCTAAGGAGTGTTCCCTGTTAACAAACCCACCTTTGGGTTTCATCTTCTTTCTGTTGGATGATGAAAAGCAGGACTTCGGCGTCTTGAAGAAAGTGGCGTTACTCAGTTCACTTTTCTAGTGCTGAATTTGTTTAACTTACTAGATTGGCTGGAAAACCGTGAAATGTCTGTGCAGAGAAGATAAAGAAGATACCAAACCAAATAATTCAATGAGAGTCAAGATGCAAAACTTTACACAGCAGTTTGTAGCCACCTTACTTATAAGTAGGTATTTGGGATTGTACATAAATGGTGACCTGGATGGAAAATGGACGTTGCAAATGGTCATCAATCTCATGGGGATGAGACAGCCTCCCTTAACAGGATGCAGGGCCTATTATAACCTATATAGTAATGAAATGGAACATTTACAAAACTGGGAGAGACGGATGGTGTCTACACACCTTTACTAGCCAGGTTTCCCACCTGCTCCTCTGAAATGAAGCTACCGGTCCAGCTGTGCTTTCACAAAACCCTACAATGGAAAGGATTGTGATGGTATAAACGTAGCATTTTTCTGTCATTGCAAGAGTATATCAAATGAAAACACAGAAAGGGAAGAAGCAATCATCATTTTTCAAAATCATAGTTATGTAGCAAAAAGTGAAATTTTATAATTCTGTTTTCCTTAAAAGAACTAGGCTCTAAAACGCTGAGATCTTGAGGGAGGGGCCATTGGTGGCTACCAGTCTTGCTAGCCAGCTGCTTCCAGCTGTTCGCACACACCAGCTGCTGAGGAGCTTGGGCTGGCAGAGGCCTTGCACCCACCCTGCCAGAGGGGTCTGTGGGCAGCTGGTTTGCCACCGTGTGTGCGGCGTGCTGGACTGGAGGGCGCTCTGGTCTGGCCCAGCAGGCCTTGGTGTGCATCATCATTTCCACAGGATGTATCCCGTAATGGCGAGAGTGGTGGTGTTATCAGGAAAGCAGGCTCATATGTGACCTGTTCTTTCCCGTTGGAAAACTGCATCATAAAATAGCTCTCAAGTCAAAAAGGGCCGCCCCAGGAAGTTTAGTCATGCTTTTCCGAAGAGCTGGGTTTACCAAGTAATTCTGGGTTGCCCGGGGCTCTTGGCTGAGCATTCCTTCTACCTGTGCCATCGCACTGACATCAGGGTGGGAGCACAACTAGGGAGCCCAACCAGGTAACTTTGAGCATCTGGGATTCCCGTCTTCGTCATTATTCCTCGGGGCCCTCACCCTCCTGTGAGTGCCTAAGAGGCCACGTAACGGCTCTGATGACCAGGGGGATGACCGTGGCGAGCGGGCTGGAATGCCTATTGCTGCTGTCTTCTGTTTTCACACAATACGCAGGGGTGCCCCAATGCGTATTAGCAGAGCTATGAGGCCGTGTGAGACCCTTCTAGATTTAAAGGGATGTGTGAGATGTGGCTGGAGCACTTCATTTGGACGTAGAGGTTCTGTGTGTATCTTGTGAGTAGAGAATGGCTCTCTGTATTTTTAGGTAATGGGGGTGGGGTGGGGGGAGAGATTCCAATCTCGTTCTTGTTCTGAAATGGCCCTAACTAAGGTTGCTTGTTCTTCTGACAAGAGGCTCCCGTCTGCCCCTTGCGCTTCTTTGCAAGAAGGATGCTTTGCTTGCTTGTCTGTGGAAGATGTTCTTGTCAATCGGTACAAGCGGTGAGTCTTGCCCCGCTTGATAATGTTTCTTTGCAACGAGCCATGATAAAAGGCCCAACAAAGTTTAGGGAGAGGCATGCTGCAATTTTTGGAAATGTTCAAGAGGCACTTAAAAGAAGAAATGGAACCCATCTGAGCTGTAGCATGATTGACCTGCTACATTTTCTAAAAGACCAAGAAGCAGCCTAAACTTGGCATACTCCGTTGTGGAAAGGAAGAGCCAGTCTTTTGCTTGTCCCTGTTTTTCACTTGAATCTGCAGCTGGGATATTCATGGCACATAGTTCTCCTTGGCAGAACACTTCCTTGCCCGTGATCTTACTCTGGTCTAAGCATGCTTGCTTGAAATTAATTTACATTGATTTGTTGTAAGTTGCCTGCAAATTCATTTAGGTTTGCAGGTTCATTCTGTGAGAAAATTGTATATTTAATTTGCTTTGTAATGAAGGACAGCAGAGTCTGTTAGGCTTCTTTTAACAAATGAAATGTTATTAGTTTCATCTAAGAACATAACCCTGTGTGCTGGGAGGGACCTTTTCATTCTCAAGTCTTAATCCACCCCTGCAAATGAAGCACAAGCAAAACAAACGTCTGTGAGGACACAATCAGAAGAACACCGTCACTTGCAAGCGGACAGTGCCCTGTTTTCACAGGCGGCACATGGCCTCCTCTGGTCCCCTGTAATAACTGCGTCTGACTTTAGGATCAGCCACTGAAGGCGGTGAATGTCTGCAACGAGCAGCGGCGCCTGAATTCCTGCTGTTGTGTGTGTCACCATCGGCATCACACTGTGGGTGCGGTCTAAGTGTGTGCTTGGAAGTGGGCAGCTAGGATGTTTGTAAGTGTGACACCAACGCTAATGCACATGTCACTGATGCAGCACCATCCACGTACAAGACAAGTTACAATATCATAAGAAAAAAAGACCAAATTATTTTGCATCCTAAACAAACGGGGCAGTGCTTTCCGATTTACCTCAGAGACCAAAACTTTGAACAAAAGAAATGCAATCTGCAAAGTCATGGAAGAAGAAAGAACGGCCGTTAGCAGTGGTCATGCAGCGAGACACTTGGAGGCACGGCGTGTTTCCTGCAGGTCATGAAGGAGAAAGTAATGCTGCAGTGCCATCGTGGGCAGCCTGATCTCGGCATGTCCCTCCTGATTTCGATTTGTGCCGGAGGGGACGAGGCTCAGAAACCGAGGCAGCCAACCTGCAAAGGCCGCCCCTGCAGCAGGCCCCTTGGTGCTCCCCCAGCCCCCTGGCAGGGGGAGAACATTTGAAAGTGGTTTTGTAATTTTGTTTCTACAGTGGTGCATTATCAAGTCTTGTATGTTTAAACTGTCTGTGTGCCATACACGTTTATAGTGTTGTAGTCTAGGACTTTTATAGCTGAAAACATGAAAAAATAGCAAATAAATATCAAGGTAACGGTGAAATCATGGCTTGATCCTGTGCGGGTGTAGACATGTGGACAACTACAGAAGTAGTGATCCTGGTGCACACTTTGCTGCTTTGCAAAAAAGTAAACACAAAGTTTCTCTCTCTGCCCTTCGCGGGATGTTGGACATTTGCCTGGAGTCAGTGTGGCGAACGGATCTGTGCTGGGCTGGGACTGGGTGGGCTCAGCTGCAAACTCCCACTTAGCCACGCATCTTTGGGGGACGGTGCACCAGAAACTAACTTCTGGCTCAGCCTGCTTTGCAGGGTGTTGTTCACAGGTGCATTCTCCAGATAGGTGTGAAAGCATCTGCGCACTCAGGTTACATCTGTATTGGGGCATCTTAAACACCAGCACCCACAGCAGTTCCAAAGGGGGTTGGGTGTTTTAATTCACAGGGATCACAGAATGTATCCTCTAGTTATTTGGGGAATTACCTAGCTTGCAATATGCAAGGAGGCACCAAAGATGCAAAAACTTCAGGAGGAAATAAACGATTAGGTCAAGGAAGCCTATGCATATTAAGCCCATCAGACCCAAACCAAGTCCACATACTGTGCTTAAAAGGTGGGGAGATTAGCTTAATGCTGAGGGTTATTGTACTTAACAGCTTGGGTTCAAAGGGCTGATTTAGGCTTCCTGTGAGGCTATAGAAACTGGCCAGCTGAGTCAGAGTTCCTGAAGACAGCTGGGTGCAGAGCAGCTCTTGTGCCCAGGCCAGAGTCTTAGGTGCTGGATGCTGCATCTCGGATTCTGCATTCCAGGTCTTCACTTGAGCAAGAGCTGCGCCAAGGCAAAGCAAGGTTGGCAGAAATCTCTGGCTGAGCCCCGAGTTCCGTGGCTTAGCAGTGTTTTCAGCAATGGAAGGGGAACGAACTGGACCGGCCAGGAACACTGAGCTTGCAGTGAGCCAGGAACCGCTGTGGCCAAGTCCTTTAGGGAGGTCCAGAGCAGCAGGCAGGCAGGCAGGCAGGCAAACTCTGGACTTGTGTTTACACAAAAGGGAAAAGGGATCCCTCCAAGAGTATCAACATGGACACCTCCGGGCCCTCCTGTCCAAATCCATTCAGATGGGAATGCTCCAGCACTGCTGCACTGGAGGGCGGGATTTCTGCCCCGCCTTCAGCTGTCTGGGCAGCTCTTCAGTGTCGCTGGCCGTGGGACCCTCTGCAGGTGTCTTCCTGCTGATGTCCTGCTTCATGTGCCCCGTTCCCGCATGAGGTGCTCAAGGGCGGCGTGGCTGATTCAGGGTGGCCGACCTCATGACAGTGGCTTGCTGGGCCTCTTCACCCCTTCAGCAATGGTGCTGCGCTCGCTTCTGTCTCCACGTGGAACCAAGCTCAGTTTCACCAGAGAGTACTGGGGCAGGGTGCCTCCTGGGCCTGGCAACTGTCAGCAGGTGCCTGTGGGTAAAATGCTGCTTTGATCCGCTCGGAGGAAAAGGGGATCTGTCAATGCAAACAGCCCTCTGTGGGCATGGGCAGCGGGTGCCACCTCTGAAAGTGCAACCCTCCACCTGCTCCACATTCAGCTGGGCCCAGCAAGCAGGCCAATGCACACATGCAGTTTTAACTGTAGTGCACAGAGGGGGGGGGGTGTGGTGGTGGTGCAGAGATGGGCATCAGCAGGAGCCCACCACTGGAGAGCCATGCTGTTAAAAGGGGGCCTGAGGCCCACCCCACAGAGGCTAAGGTGAGTCTGGCCTCTGTCCAGTCAAGGCAGTACTTCCTCTGCTACTGCACAATTTTGGCTGGAAGGAAACCCCTTGAGAAAAACGTAGTAGTGGCAATTATTCCAGAGCTCCTTTTGCCAGTGCCCAAATAGCTTGAAAAGAGTTCATACAAAAATTTAGATACGTCAAGGGAAAGGGCTGAGGAATGTCCTGCTTGCAAGGCAGGCACACACTTTTACAGCCCGCCTGGCGTCCGCCTTTTCTGCGCTGCGCTGCGCTGCGCTGAAGTTTATTGCCTTTGCGCCACCGAGGTGTGCAGCCGGCCCAGGGCTGGCCCTACTTTGGGCTTCCCAAGCGGGCAGGTCAAGGACAACGTCCAAGGCCGCTAGGGGAGCCAGGGATTTTGGATCATCGGCCCGAGGCACCACCAGCCGCGGCCCTTCTCCGCGGGGGCCTCCCGCGCTCCTTGCTCTCGCGGAAGCCCGGTCTGGCGGCGGCGGCGGCGGCAGCGGCAGCGCCCGCTGCGGCGGTGGCCCTGCTCCGAGCAAGTGCTCCCGCCCGCTGCGCAGGCAGCCTGGCTGGCTCCAGGAAGCCGCGGCAAGGCTGCCGGGCGCACCAGACCGAGCGGGAGGGGGCGCGCAGGCAGCCAGCAGCCCTTCGCGCCGAGCGGAGTGGGCGGCGGGGCGCGGTGAGCGCCGTCGAGGGAGGAGGCGCGGGGCCGGGAAGCGCCCGTTTCCCGCGGCCAGGAGGCGGCGGCCGCGCGTCATCGCCCCTCGCTGCGAGAGGGCGTCGAGAGGACCAGCTCCCGGCGCCCGGGGGTGGGTGGCGAGGCGGCGCGCGCGGCCGAGAGCGGGGGCGCGGGGCAGGGGGACGTGGCTGGGCGCCCGGCGGGTCCCCGCTGGGGCTCCCGGGGCTGCGGGCGTGCGCGGCCAGGCGGAGACGGCGTGCGCGCCGGGCTGCTGCCGCGCTCGGTGCGTTGCCCCTTTAATTGTGTCCCCAGCCCTCGGGCGTCTCTCTCCAACGCCCACGTCAGCAACCACCTTTTGTTTCTCCGCCGGTCGGGCTGCTCCCTGCTCTGGGGCAGCGGAGCCCGCGACGTTCCGCACCGCCGGCCCCGCCGAGTCCCGGGCGAGCGCAGCTCGGGAAGCCCTGCCGCCGCCGAGCCCTCGCCCGCCTCCCCGGAGCTGCAGCCCAGCCCGCCCCTCTGCCGAGCGGTAAGTCAGCGGCGCC